GCAATTTTAGCCAGCATAACCACGTTTCTGGAACCATCTTACCTATGCTACATTGAATAAATGTTATAATAATGTAGGGCATCACACTACCCATCATATTTAAAAGCTCAGTTACGCTATGTGTGGGAATACTAGTGCCTTCCTATGGTTTGCATGAAATTAATCAATAAATCAATGACTTGTTTTAAAACTGCCAGTAAATTCTGTTACCATGGTAACTCGGTTAACCATAGGCTTATGTCTTCAAGCATTGTGATGTTACATTTTTGCCCTAATTCTTAATACATAAAGTCTAAATTACCTGATGTATCAAAATTTATAGACAGATTTTTACACACATTCATACACCCAATCATAAACCACAAGCAGAAGTGCACTACGCCAACTACAAGACAGCCTGGCCCGACAACCTTCGCATGATTAGTCAATACAGATCAATACAGCACTCAGCTACAGTCGAGGGGGTAATGGGCCCTTTTTTCCGCTCATATCTGGCTGACTAAAAAAGAGCATGTTGACAGACAAATGGACGTGTCTGTAATCACCCTGACATGGTAAGTCTGCAGAATGGCTTTAGACTGACAAAGATATGAAGGCTCCATTCGAGGTCTCGATCAATACAATCAGCCACAGCCGAACAGGCGGTAAGAGACGTGGGGATGAATGGCTTTCCAGAAAGAGAAGCAGCCCTGCTGTTGGTGCTTCATTTGGAGGGAGGGAGGTGGGGGCTGGATTATCTGGTGTTTGGCAGACACACAGCCTGTTTGCTTTGTGCTGGAGGTGTTTGACAGTCAACAATATTTCTTACCATATTTTTAATGAGAGTTCATGGGGCAAAAAAAGAAAAAGGCTCTTCCTTGGAACACTTTTGCACTGTTTCCATCTTTAAGATTCTTGTAATGGACAGAAATGGACTGTAATGGCCCTTCAGTGTAAGATTTTCCCATTGTTGCTCTGACCCATTAGAGGATTAAAACCTGCTCTGGTCAGGAACAGTGCACTAAACCGCCTGTTTCTGGCAGAAAGGATTGTTTCTTTTTTTATGCTTTTGAACATTTTTAACAGCCATATTTGAAGTTTGTTTAACTTTGACCTTTTGGAAATCAATGGCTATATACTGTCCTGTGCAAAAGTTTCAATACATCCAGGCAAATGAGATGTTTTGTTAATTTTCTAAGTAAAAGTAAGTTAATACATCCTACACAGTGAACACACTAAAATCTGGCATTTTCATGTTAATTTTAATGCACATTTCTATGTATTTGCTGAATGTAATGGGGGCAAATCAAAAATGTAAACGTGCCATAATCTTTGCACAGGTAACATTTTACGTTTGATTTGATCTAATAAAATACTGGGCATGTGTAGCACAAGAGTGGGTTTCAATTTGTGAAAAAAAAAATAAAATCAGCCATAAAAATAATAACTGGTGCCTCCGTAAACATAATGTTGTTTAAATTTCCAGTAATCATAACTTCATTACAAAGTCACAGTGAAGATAAACAGCCTCCTCCAGTTTATCTACTGTGCACACACAGGAAAAGTTTACTTAGTTATAATTTACACAGCAAACAACAGGAGTGTTAGCAATAATTTCAGGGGTGGGTGATATGGCCAAAATACTATAATATGTATCACGATACATATTGTGACATTTTCTCGATACACGATATACATCACAACATTTATTCTGTTTTCCTGAGCTTTGAACAGAGAAAAAAGAACCACTAGCATATATATATATATATACACACACACACACACACACACACACACACACACACACACATATATATATATACACATATATATATATACACATATAACTATCAAAAACTATGAACACAGCAATAATCATTCAATATGGTGAATAATGCGCTACATTAAATCCAATTATGCTCTCTTAGTAATGACACATGCAGTTAGTCAGCGTACTTTAGATACAGATATGATGATATGCTTAGAACAACATATTGTGACAAATGATCAAAATAACAATAGATATTGTCATATTTATCATATAATATATTTGATATTTAATAATAACGCATTACAGAACACTTTCATGATATGTGTTATTGGGAGCAGGCTTTCCACATACGATAAATATTGCTACATGGTTAATATTATCTTTATTAGAGAAATAAAATTGTTTTCCATCATAAGTCAGCAGTTATTCTTTTCAAAAACTTGTTAAACACAAAATTATTGCAAATGCATATACAGAATATTCTGCACGTTGTCATGTTTTTTTGGTGGTATTATGAGCAAAGTAAAGGAGATCAGTATAATATCTGTGGTGTAATGATTTCTGTGTGCATTAGTGCTTTTCAAACGTTTGAACAATTTCACAATAATACCGAAAACCATGATATTTTGCACCCGATATCACGACAGCAAGTTTTCTAACCATCCTATCCCGTATTGAAAACCACTGTCAAATCAATTTTCAAAGAATGAGGGCTGAGGAAAATCAGATTACGCACTGAGGGTGAAATAGTCTGTATTCACAGAATCAAACAGCGTAAGTGAACTACACATAGCTATTATTTGATTTCACTGCTCTGAGCATACCAGCGCGTATATCTAATAAGGAAAGAAAAGACAAGAGGACAGATGATGGAGTCTTCCCACTAATCCTGGGCATGGAGGGGCGGATCAATATCTTCTGCGCTCAGTAATAAATGCAGCAAGACTGTTAAAGCACCTCTAAACAGATGGGATGTAATATGTGTGTGAGTGTGCGGGTGTGTGTGTGTGTGTGTGTGTGTGTGTGTGCGCGTGTGTATGCCTAAGCCATCCGAAAAAGCCCTAGCTACCCCTCCTCCTTCCCAGAGGGGCTACGCACTGCTGTTCTCAGCTCAGCCCTGCCTTTTTTCTTTTGAGTGGGTGGGAGAGCGAGCCCCTCATTCTCATTCAGAAAGGGGGATGGGGGGAGCGGAGGACGACAGGATGGAGGGATCCGCACTCCTCGTCGAGGCTTTATGGAAGCCTTTATTTATGTCCTGCTTCTTTCTCTCCCCCAATAACCCCCTCCAACCCCTTCCCCTTCATTCCGCCCCCCTCTCTGACTGGATTTAGGGCCGGCATCTGAGCTGCCAGCACTCCTGCAGCGGATAAAAGGCAGCGCGCGGCAGCCTGCACCTTCACACCGGCTTTTATGACCCTCCAAAGGATCAGTAGAGAGAAAAGCCCGAGGATAGAAAAAGAAAAAAAAAGGAAAAAGAAAAAAAAGCAGCCACTGAGAAAACAAGGCAAACACAAGCAAAGAGGATTCCAGTTTAGATTCCACTGTTATTAACCAGAGCCAGACAACACAGGCTCATGGGATGAAAAGTGGTTACGAGTTCGAGAGAGCTTTTTTTCCTTCTCAGCCAACTGTGGCTAAGAAGACCTGAAAAGAACAAGTGCAATAAAAAAGAAAGAGAAAGACAACAAGAGCGGCTCTCCCCGGCTCTGTCATCGCGTAATCACCCTCTGAGTGATATAAAAGGGAGCAATTACATTTCATCAGTGCTATTTATACATCAGCAGAAAATGAGTGTACATAATTTAGACAACAGTGTCTATGTCAATATCTCATTAAAGCTAATGTGACTAAGAGGGTGTGGGAAACGCTGGCAGTGGCACTCACAGATGTTTGCACATGCCGATTTCGGCAACCCCCCCGCCCAATAAAACAAACAGCCAGACAAAAGGGCTGTTTCTTGGACCCCCTGTACTAGAAGCTTAATCCACATGTAAACACCAGAAGACGTTCACAAAGAAACAAAGACAATTCTGATCCACCATAGTGGAAAAAACAATCAGGAGAACCATTTTTTAAGAATTCTCCATTAAAAAAACACCCATACAGACAAAGGTATCCGTCTGGTGGGATGACATATGTACGCACCTTTCTGACCAAGAGCAGATGTACCATCAAACTGGACACGCTAGCCTTAATGTCAGCCGCTGTCTGTATTTCTGTGAGGTGCTCTGCTGCGGTTTTGGGCGCAGAAAGGCTGAAGCACCTCGACATTTACTCTGGATGAAAGGGAAAACATGAGAGGCCTGGGAGCTGCACTGGACTTCATTGATTTATAATTAATCAAGGACAGAGCTAGGCTGCCATATTGCACCCGGATATAATCTCCTTTAAACGCACTGCTTGACAGCATGGACACAATAAGGAGGAGCGTTTGCCAAACTTCAGGAAACCCATGAAGAAAAAGTGGCAGTGCTGAAAGCGTGTTGATGCAATGAGTCTTCTTTGAAATATTTAGACTGGTTGCTTCAGCATGACTGCAGTCAAAATGGCAGACGGGAGCGCTTGAGGTGAGCCGAGAGGACGGTGCATTGCGCCCTCTGCTGGCTCAGCTGTGAATAACAGCAGGCTTAAAACTGGAGCTCAAAATTGACAATTCAGGTGCTCTGAAGAAAGAAATAAAGCACTAAAGCACCCCAGCAGTCTCAGTACTACAGTACTACAACTGATTTTGCAGTCAAACATAAGCATGGCCTCCTTGGGAACTTGTAGAAACAGGCAGACGTAAGTCAATATCTTTAGGCCTGCTCCAGAGGGAGCGAAGGAGAGAGAGATGGATAGAGGGGAAACAGACAGAGACAGAGACGGCTCATTCGGATGCCAAGCGAAGCCACGGCAGCAGCAATTACACCTCCATTTCACACAGGGAGAGCAGGAAATGAGGCAGGAAGTGTGCTGCAGGCTACACGAGAAGACAGCAGGGGGAGCAGAGGCAGACAGAGCGGGAAGAATGTCTGCATGTGCCTTCAAGCTGCTACATGCTGCTTAGTTCAAGTGCTGTCGCTGCTCATGTTTACAGCTGAATTTCAGAAAGACTAAAAGGGGTCATAGAGAGGGGAGATAAATATATGAAGAGACAATATAGAGACAGAAACAAACAAATACAGGAAAGAAATGAAAGAGCGAGAGCTGTAGCGATAGAGAGAGAGAGAGAGAGACAAACTATCAGACAGACAGACAGAAAGAGACTAACCTGCTCTCTGAACTGCTCCTGGGAGAGACAGTCCGTCATGTTGACGCAGCCAAGCAGGCAGCCGGTGGGGTAGTCTTTAGGAAACTGCACATCTGGGGAAGCAGGAAGAAAACTCCAGTGAATGAGTGAGCTCCTTAACATTCAACCCCTTAACACTCAGACTTCCATTCCTCACTACAACTTTACAATAACCCCATCATTTTGCACCATTTTCCATGTAGTTAAAGAATACTAAAGCTGGCTTTACACTGTGACATTTCTATGCAACTTTACTTGCTTGAAACCTTCATGAAACTTAATTGCACCTGTGTTGCATCCTGAAACCTGCAACCATAGCAAGCTATTGTTTCTGTAACCAGCTGACCTAACTAGCCAGCTAAGAGTAACAGTAACAGCTGTTTAAATGGCTGCATGTGCCACTGTTTATTCTTCTTTAGTCTGCTGTTATCTTGATCTACGCAGTTATTCATTTTGTCCTCTCTTCATGCCCTCTAATTCTACACAGAGCTCAAATTCATATGGGATCTAAATGAAAACAAATATTATAAAAGCAGGAGACCGAAACACACTCCTCAAACTCGCAGTGCTGCTAGGAGATGATAAGCGAGACATCAAGTACAACTGTAATGTTAGATATACAGTAACAGACAGACAAGAGACAGATATCCAGATATAGAAAACAATGGCAGTAACAGCTGAAAAAAAGAAAGCTATAAAAAGACTATAAAAATGCAGGAAGTATGTTAATAACATTATGCCGATAACTTCGAAAGGATGATATGATGTACCTAAAAATAAACTGGTAAGTTGGCTACTAATAGGAATAATTAAATGTGTTGCTTTTTCATTGTCTAACATGCCAAGTTGCACAGAAATTACATTAGACACAACTCACAACATGCAACTAGTTGCATGAAAGTCTCACCTTGTAAAGCCTAAACCTAACAATATGGACATACAAAAGAGCTTAACTGGTTAATCCCTTCAATTCAATTCAATTCAGTTATTATTATTTTTCAGCTAATAATCTTACAACTTAATATTCAGTAACTACTATACATTATATAGTAACTACAATTAAATACGGATGCAAGTTATGTATGCTACCATTCTAAAACTTGAAATCACTTATGTTATATTCGATAATAACCTATATAATGTAGATTTAAATTTAATGAAAAAGACAACAGGTATTTTTAGATGTTTTGTTCCTTATTTCAAAGATTGTGAGTTACAATATTCTGCAAATTCATTCTGTTATTATCTATTTAAAGTAATATTTTGTCACTTTTTCTGCCTAAAGATTTGTTCACTACCATTCAAATATAAGCCATTCTGGATATTAATTTTATCAGTTTTCAATATTATACAGCTTTCTCTGCTGTCATAGCACAATCATCTGCGCCCCCATTCAACCTAGTTTCTTTTTTTTGTTTAGATTATTACAGATTAATTTTAAGCAATTAAATTTCATGCAGCTACCATTTTACCATTTCATCTTTTATCCATTTTTCATATTTAACTGAAACTAGATTTGTTTTTACGGCTGAAAACACTGATTCCGAACATTTGAACATATGTATGTACTACAAATGGACGCAAATCCAAATGTGTACATCATTTCAGCAGAAAGAGAATATATTAAAATACATTACACCACTTTTGACAATAATTATGTTGATGAGCTTTTTATTATTCTGGAAATAACGTACTTAAACCAAACCAATTTAATGCACCAATTTGTTCAGTGCAAGAATCCTCTCTTCTACCACCAAAACAAAAAAAAACAAAACAGAAATGTCACACTGGTACAGTTTCAGGCCTTTTGGCTCATTTCGACTCTAGTGTGAATGACAGGCTCCCTTCCAGCTGTCTTCAGTTTCACAAGCGTGTCTGGATATTATGCAACTTTACTATGGAATTTGGAGAGGATCTGACTGGTGGCATTCATTAACACTGCATAGTGATAAATGCTGACTTGTCACACTTCTGAGAAACCTGACACACTTCTTCCAGCTATGAACGACATAAAATCATACCTTGCTTATAAATCTGCCGATACATGGCCTCCACCTGGGCAATTTCCTGAGGAGTGGGTTTTTTGACTGCAGCAGCAATCCACAGGCGCCCTCTGTGGGAGGTATACCATGTCCTGCCTTCCACTCTAAACAAATTCATAAAGATATTTAGCTTGAAGGACCGCGAAACTGAGCTGTTACACATAATAACCATGACAGAATCTTCATTATTCAAAGAAACGCTCTCAGAAATCATTTATTTAGTTGAGTATTTGAATAAGACATGAGCAGTTCGGAATAAAAAGTGAAATAAATTTTGTATCAAGAATTGCATAGAACAAGATTGGGTCACAAGCAGCTAATAAACATACAAAACATCTATTCAGCCTTAAGCAGCCTAGCCCTGTCCATTTACATTGAACTTCTAACGATTTTTCTGCCTGGACTGCTTTTTGAATGAGGCACAATACAGGGCAGCCAATCAAAACAGGCTAATTTGCATATAACAGTCCTAAAGACACTAACAAAACCAAGCGGTTTAACTCTAAGGTTTAAAGAGAGGTTGGAAATGGTGCTGTAAAAATGAATTAAGGCTGTTTTGGTACACAAAAAAACAATAGCATTAGTGGATCTCAGGGAAAACAAACAAAAAAAAAACAAAAATATAGGACATGGGCTCTTTGAATGACATACACCTACAAACACAAAGATAAACCACTAAATTAACTGAATGATCAGGTTGGTTTCACCAGTTATACAAGCTGCACACAAAGATGTAAAGTTAAACTCATAAAAGATATATTTTTTGGCACATAATATGTTTTATTTAAAAATATGGATAATAATATAGTAAAAATTGTTAATGGCCAAATCCTAACAGGCATAAAAATGCCCAAAAGGCATAGTATCTGATTAATGTTAGAGTTCTCTATGGTGGGTTTGTTGAAATGGAGGAGATCACCTCTTTATGCCACAGGTGAGAAGTGAGGCCCACGGCTGATGCATGCTGAGACAACAGCCCCCGTCTGCCATCTCCTGTAGCTCTCTGTCCTGCAGCCGGAGTCTAGATCGTTCAGCCTTCTGCTCACTTCCTGCAGCCTTCACTTGAGACCTGCGAGGGGCCTCACCACCACCAACGTCCACCCACTGACCCATACACATTTACATCATTACACACAATCTCATAATCTCTTGCAAATAACAGTCATGTTATGCCCAGTTCTATAATGTGTTGATGCCCACCTGAGGCGCAGCCTGTACAATGTTTGGGTTGACCAGCTCCCTGAGGTGTTGACGGCCAGTTGGGCCCGAGCTCTTTGGTGTCTGGACCAGAGTTCCAGTATTGATGGCTTTCACAGTCTCATCAAATCTGTTGAAGTCAACATGCATAAACATCAGTTCTTCAGTCAGACTTCTGCTTTAATTAATGTTGATCAATCAAAAACATATGGAAAATGCTGATTGTTTTACAAGATAATGTGAATTCAGTGTGGATTCACTGTCTTCTTTATGATTTTGTTAGTAAACCAAAGGGAGTTACACTACTGCAGGCCGTTACTATACCACATTAAAAGTACTGTCACAACTAGGTGTACTGGACCTTTCCAGTGTGTAACATGGAAGACAAAAAAGTTGGTGTATTTATTCATTCAGAATGTTACTATAATGTGCCTTTGCAGTGAATTTCAAAGAGAAAACTTTGACCCAAAATAAAATGGACATAAGAGGTAAGGAAAATCTGCCAAAAATAGCTTAAGTTCTAGAAAGTTAATTAAGTATGCTGTAATTCCAATTCAGGAGCATAAAATACACAAAAAGACCTAAGCTGGCAGAGCCAGCGGGTGATATGTGCGGACAGCCTGAAATTTACACAGCAAATGTATAAATCAAGCAAAAAAGACCTGGGCCTAAAATGTAAATTTGAGGGATTTACAGAAAAGAAAAAAAAAAATTACTGTCCTTCAAATGAACACAAATTGTGAGCTTCCAACTTTATGTCGCTTATTGTTTAAACTATGCATATGAACTGGAAGCTCGCCCTGCTTAGGTCATATACTGTCACTTTCCGAACTGTATCTCCATTTTTTTCTCTACACCATTTGAATACGGCAGACGTCCTTTACAATGTGTGAAAATTTCATGATAATGGAGGCAGAGACATCATTTGGAATAAGACCTTTTTACATCAAATTACATTCAAAGTTCAGAATTTTTTCACAATGCATGTTTTTCTTTAAACAGCGACAATATGTTCATTAATTTAAGCTAATAATATGTGGTACATATGTCTTTCAGTTACATTATGTTTCTGTAATATCTGTTATATTAGACAGTGTTTTTGTCATTCAGTAAAGCCTAAAGTTTTGTTCATGTAAAATGCAGTACTGTGTCTGATGTTTTTATGGATGTGTCCTTGATTTTAGGTTTGTCGGTTAATCACTGACTAATAACAGTCAGGTATTGGTCAAAAGAATTTGCATCTCTAAAAAAGCCAAAAAAAAACAAACAAACAAAAAAAAACAACCCTACAGTCATTCTTTACAGAATAAATATCCTATCTTGACATAACTTAGATATAGATGTGCATCTTTGAATCTTTGCAGCTTCTATATCTTAAATCCCCACAGGGTATCACTTTAGGGTCCTCTTAATCAAAGCAATCACAAAAAATGTTGTGTATAACTCATACTTATTGTAATACTGAGTCAGGTTCTCCCCTTCCTCCAGCACTCGTCTGCCTGCAAAGTCCAGTGTGATCTTGCGGTCTTTGCGGGAGGCGTGACGAAGGTCTCTGAGCTCTTCCTCCCTCTTTCGCAGCACCTCACGCTCTGCTGGAGAGAGCCACTGGTTGGAGTCAGTGGCAAAATAGTCTGACTCATCATCCAAGACTTGAGTTCGGCGAACACTGAGAAAGAGCAAGGCCTGGTTAACAACTCATTACCTTCAACATTTCGCCTTAGACAGAAAACAACCATTATACTGCAATTCAGTGTGACCACCAGTAAGTTGAGTAGTTGAGTCCTGGCCTGATTTTCATAAAATGACTTTACATATCTGCGACTTAAGGCTTGACTTGGACTGAGACTGAAATTTGCACTGTCCAATGTGTGAATAATCTTTATAAAATATATAAAATAACTGACTACCATAAACTCAGACTGAGTCAGAGTCTACCACCTAATACAACAACCAGCGATCAAACATAAGTGAAGCTTTACACCCCACATCTAAGGCCGGAGGTGAACTCCACCTGAGCACCTTCTTAGGGACTTTGGACGTGACTTGGACTTGAGAACTAATAACTTAAGATTTAAAAGAAAAGGTAAGTGACTTGACTTCAACACTGGTGACCACTCAGGCAGACAGACAGCACTAAGTGTTAAGAGTAGCCTACCTGTTTTTGTCAAACTCTAGCAGTTTATCTTTGTGTTGAATAGCCTTCTCCAAGCCTGCTTTAATCCTGGCCTCCTGGTGGGGTAGAATGTCTTTATCCAATCCTTCATATGCAAAACGATCTGTCGGTTTAAAAGAGACACAACCAGGCTCACATCTTACCCAAAGAGAGTTGGAGTAAAAATTGAAGGAAGAGGAAATAAGCACATGAATCTGAGATCACAACACTCTAAGCCAAGCTAATTCTTTTCTAACCTCCCATGAGTTTCTTCCGGAGTTTCTGACTTTTGTTCGAGTCCCGCTGCAGGATCTCCTGCTCCTCTTTAGTGCACACCTGACAAGAAAGTTGAAGAAATAAATTAAGAGAAACTGCTTTAGTGTTGAACTTCGCTGAACAAATAAAAGCAAATAGTACACTGACTGTCATTCGCGAGAGCAGTTTTAAAGGGCCCATGTCACTGAAAACTTAATCTTCCCCATTTTTTATAAAATAAAAAAGTTTTAAGAAATATGTAAACACTGTTAAAGTCTTAAAATGTACCACTAACTACTCAGTCCACATATGGAAACCCAATTCATACTGAAGTTCTAAGGAGTGTTTCAGCTCAGAATGCGTTTTCAATGAGGCACAATATAGAGCAGCCAGTCAGAGCCCATTTATATATATCAGTCTTAAAAGTACAGTAAAAAAGAAGAGCCTGTTAATTTTACAGTACAAAGAGAGGTCAGAAAATGGTCACATAAAAAAAATCACAGCCATATTGGTACATGGTGCATATCAGAGAAAAAATTAAATATAGCAAAAATGTAGGACATAGGCCCTTTAACTGTAGTGACGTTCGATGAGTCGAGGAAGTTTAAATTGATGCCCGTAAGTATGTATGTATGTATGTATGTATGTACGTATGGGTGGTTGATTGACTGTTCCCTGACTGGCTGAAATGAACTGCGAGGACAGATGTTGGTTTAACTTTTAACAAGAAACACATAATAATTAGGATGATATAATTATTGTGGTTCCAACCGAGTCATGGTTCACACAAATATCCAGCATGTGTACAAGTTCCATACGTACCAGACTGCCACAAAAGAAACACGGACCAGAGCCCTCCTGTTCACACACGATCCGGCCACAGGTCATGCAGTTGTTGATAAGTTTGTGCTTCTGGGCCAGGCAGTCGCAGGAATGGCGTCCAGGCAGTAACACAGCAAGCCTATCTTGACCCTCTTTGGCATACAAATTTACAAACTTACTCTTTTTCTTCGTGGAGGAAGAGCTGCTGTTCTCTTGCGCCTAAACAAAGTAAGCACAATCCTAAGATGCAGTATTAGAAGAACCTGAAGCTCAGAGTTTGTTAAAGTCACAACATATACCTTAAGCAAGTCTATAGGAGTTTTTACAGCTTCTGGCTCAGGCTCGGCTTGGCTGAAAGAGATGACCTCTTGTCTATTCCTGCCTTTTCGCTTCGACTTCTTCTGGGTGTCCCTTGCAACATCTGGACCTTCTGTAGCAGCAAAATCACAGTTTCAAGAGATTCAAGTTAGGGAATCTGACTCACTTAGGCTAATCAATTCCATAAAACTTAAAATGTGTTTACTCACAGATGATTCACATGAGTAACAATAACAATACAGTGCAAGAACAAGCTGAAGACCTTTACAACTCAGTTTAGCGCAAAAGATACTCATGTGAAGGAACACAGTACAGCATGAACATTGTAGACATAAATCTAGCAAGGATGTTCCAAAAAACATCACGGATTATATTCAGATGTGCTCATCTTTGTTACCTGTCACTGTCTCCCTCATGGGGATCAGTTCTGGCCCACTGTCAGCCTGTTTTCGACACCGCTGCCATCGCTCTAACAGCTCATCAATGAACTGTTTCTTCTTCCCTCCAGTTCCTTGCAGGAGATCCCCCACATACTCCGCAAGTTCATCAGCATTGTTGATGGACAGGATATATCTAGTACATCACAAATGGTTAGCAGTTAGCTATGTAGTCAACCTGGCTTGAAACTGACTGGCTGCTTACGACCAGCCATTACATTTAAACCACCTCCTTGTTTCTACACTCATTGTCCATTTTACCAGCTCCACTTACCTTATAGGTGCACTTTGTAGTTCTACAGTTACAGACTGTAGTCCATCTGTTTCTCTGCATACTCTGTTAGCCCCCTTTTACCCTGTTCTTCAATGGTTAGGACCCCTACAGGACTACAGCACTGACTGGCATAGTTAGTGTGTGTTGCGCTGGTACGAGTGGATCAGACACAGCAGTGCTGCTGGAGATTTTAAACACTGCATCCACTCACTGTCCACTCTATTAGACACTCCTACCTTGTCAGTCCACCTTGAAGATGTAAAGTCAGAGATGATAGCTCATCTGCTGCTGCAGTTTGAGTTAGTCATCCTCAGTGGTCACAGGACGCTGCCCACAGGACTCATTCTCAGTCTAGCAGTGACACTGAGGTGAACCCCAGCAGCACTGCTGTGTCTAATCCACTCGTACCAGCACAACACACACTATCACACCACCACCACGATTTATCACTGCAGTGCTGAAAAATCCACCACTCAAATAATACCTGCTCTGTGGTGGTCCTGTAGTGGTCCTAACCTTTGAAAAACAGGGTGAAAGGAGGCTAACAAAGTATGCAGAGGAACAGATGGACTACAGTCTGTAACTGTAAAACTATAAAGTGCACCTATAAATAAATGGAGCTAATAAAATGAAAAATGAGTGTAAACACAAGGAGGTGGTTTTAATGTTATGGCTGCTCAGTATTAACGTTACTGAAAGATACTGGCAGCTTCATAGGCTACGTTTACACGGCAGGTAAAAGTGGCCCAAATCTGATTTTCTCACCAAATCTGATTTTTTTGTTTGGCTGTTCACATTGTCTTTTAAATGTGACCTGTATGCGACATCAGTCTGAACAGATCAGCTCCTAAACCGACCCGCATGCGCAAAAGAACAGTGCTTCACGTGGCGGCTCATCCAGAGGTAAACAGTCATGACGGCCAGTGAACGCCAGTCGCTCCCGCAGCTCTCAGTTTCGTCTTCGCCTGCATCACATGAGCGAGTATAAAGGTCCAGTGGTTGACTATGGAGGACCAGATTTGCCAAATTGAAAAATAAATAAAATTAAAACATAAATGGCTCAGTAAATTAATCAATAAATAAAAAAACTAAATAAAGTATATATTGCATGTTGTGATTGTAATTATGCACATATTTCCTTTTTCTGCAGTTATATATTTCTCCATTTATTTATTTCTGTATTATTTATTTTGTTTTATTAATGCCATTTTATATTTTTTCCATATCTATATTTTTAACAATTGCTCGCTTTATTCTTTGATTCATGTATTCATTCATTTTTTCATCAATTCATTTATTTATTTTTTCATTAATTCATTTATTTATTTCTGTATTTCTTCGTTCATATGATAATGAGGTGGCGTGTTTTTCATGTTCAGGCTTAGCAACCAAGACCAGGAGGAGAAGAGCTGATTAAACTATTCTTTCACCAACTCCATAAAGAACTGCACGGACAGATCACTCTCGATGGCTTCCACAGGCCATATGTGAGAAGGGCGTCCAAATGTCTGAGTGATCTGAATTTAGCAGGAAAAGACGATGAACCACCTCCTCCAAAGTTCTGAACATTACGGGGTCGACCTCTGAATCAGCAGAGGCAGCTAAATGGATCAAACTGTCCCCACAGCCTCCACACGAACGAGTCAATAATCCGGACCTGCATTTTCAGCCAGATCAGCCGAGACTCTCAGATCTCTGACTGTCTGCTGTCTGTAAGAAGCCATTATTGTACTGTCTTGTCCTTAGTTACCGCTGAGAGAGCAAAACATGTACAATCGATCTACAGAGTCTGACATCGATCAACCAATAGGAATATTAAGACGCTGTGACATCATTGACTGACAGCCCCTTTATTATCATAAGGACAAGGAAATACAGAAATAAATAGAGAAATAAATAAATATAGAAATTAATAGTTATGGAAATAAATTAATAAAATAAATTAATAGACAGAAAAAATGTTAATGAAACATTTAAATAACAAAAAGAAAAATAGAAAAATTAGCGAGAAGGGTAAGTTACTAAACAGACATAAATAAATGCAGACATTAATTTATGTAAGATTTTAATTATTAATATATTAATTGTTATGTATATTTATTTATTTTTAGATTTATCATCATTATTCTTTGCAATTCTACTTCATATATTAATTTACGTCATTTATTTAAGTCATTTATTTTTAATTTTGGCAAATCTGGTCCTCCATAGTTGACAGCTGGACTCATCACTCAGAATGTGTTCGAGTTCGTTATTCGGTCACTTCTTTGGTTCGAGTCCTCGGGTTCTTTAAACTGTTCTCTGACGCTGCAGCCTCGGGCTCCTCCGGCCGCCCTCGGCCGCGTTCGGCCGGTTCGTTCGAAACCTCTTCGAACACGGAGCGGTCTGATGAGTCTCTTCTAATGTTTTGGTTCAGAAACATCAGACTAAATGTTTGAGTCTCAGCAGTGCGAAATTATGACGAATGTCGAGTTGGACTGACGTAAAAGTCGCATGAATTCCAATCTGGCTGTTCAGACTGAGTCGCATTGCCGCAGATCGTACCAGATACGTATCGGATTTCAGTACCACATATGAAAGCGTCTCAAATCAGAATTGAAAATGTCAGATCCATGCGTTTTTTGCTGTTCACACTGCCACACATCTGTGTCACGTTTGAGGAAAAAGATCGGATTTGGGCCACTTTTACCTGCTGTGTAAACGTAGCCTTAGTTGTACGTTAGCTGCGTTAATGTCAGCTATAGACAGATAACGTTAATGTCAGTCAGTCTACGGCCAGTCACACAGGCTGCGCGTTAAGGCTCAGTAACTGACTAGCCGGTTTGCCATGGAAACTAGCCGGCTAGCTTAGCTAGCTGGCAAGCAGTTCGCAGAGTGTACTTACTGAACAATGTCGTCGCTCGCTTCCAGACCAAATTTATTATTTAACTGATCCACACACCAACGAAGCAACGACTCCGACATTATGGAAATCCACTACATTAGAAAGTGCAGAATTCGCGGAATGTTGTTTTACAGGTTAAAACGGAGTTCCAGCTCACAAGCACCACAGCTAGCACTGCCTAACGCCAGATGACAAGATATTCAAAATAAAAGTCCTGATGGTGATAAAAGTCCTTTAAATATGATCACCCTGAGGACACTAATCTAAACACAAACCATACCATAAAGCTTGTGAAAGTTCATCGACATATTTAAAAGCAGATCTTACTGATGTAATTTATAAGATAAAATTCATGCTACTCGAATGAGGAATGAAGAAAAGGTTTCTACACAACGCACAACATCATATTATCCTACGGAGCGCCTAAGGGGCTGTGGTTAAAAAAAAAAAGTTTATGACATTGCGTTCCCTCGCAAATGTTTTGCGTTCCCTTGTAAATAAAATGCGTTCCCTCGCAAAATATATGCTAGTCAGACAGCAAGCAAACGTAGGACCGGAGGTGCCCAACCACATTGCCTGTATTAGAGCTTTGTTTTTAGCATATTTGACGTTAAAAGCTGTTTCCCCAGTTTCGCCAGTCTGTGCTGAGTTTATTCAGCAGTTGTTCTCTGCAGTCTCTGTAAATGTAGCTTTTACTGTACGAGGACGCTCAGCTTCAGTTTCAGGTGGAGTCACTAACAGCAGAATCATGTTTGATTTTGAGAAGCGACACGTCTTTATATTTCAATCCATCTCTGGGCTTAAGCAAAGCACAGCTTTTGCAAGTGAATGCAAACCGTTGCATAGTAATGCAAAACATTTGCGAGGGAACGCAAAACATTTGCGAGGGAACGGAATGTCATTAACTTTTTTTTTTTTTTAACCACGGCCCCTTAGGAGCTCCGTATTATCCAGCTGGTGCTGTGACCAGAAGGTGAATATTGAGATGGATATATACGAAATGCCATTTAAAAGCATAGCATATATGTACGGAGCCCCGCTGGTGACATCTTGTATAAATAAAAATAATGCGTGGCCACGCCTTATTAACGCGTGGGAACGAGATCCCAATGCGTGGCCACGACTTAGTAAGGCGTGGGAATGAGATGATTAAGTCGTGGCCACGACTTAGTAAAGCGTGGGAACGAGATCCTAATGTGTGGCCACGACTTAGTAAGCCATGATCTCGTTTCCACACCTTACTAAGTCGTGGCCACGACTTAATCATCTCATTCCCACGCCTTACTAAGTCGTGGCCACGCGTTATTTTTATTTATACAGGATGTCACCAGCGGGGCTCGGTATATATGCACTATTGTATCAATTAAAAAATTATCTAACCACAAATGATCAACACTACCTATTGTTTGTGAGCTGATTCACTATTACTCAATAAATTATACTGCAGGTGAACAGTTTGGAGAAACTGAAGAAAAATGCAGTTGAAAATAATACAATTTTAAATAAATAGTCAGTAATTCTAATACATTGTAATGCAGTCTGTCAGTCATTGTCGTTATCAGTCACCAGATGGCGGTGGAGTGTAATACTCCTCATAACAAGAATCACCAGAGCATTTTACTGTACATTTCTAGTGTATTTTAATTGTAAATGTAAACATTCTCCTTACAGAATTTTCACTGTGTGCCTTTATGTAGAGCAACACTAAACATTCAAAGTGTAGGCTTTGATACTGTCAATGAAAGCAATACATTCAGGTGTATCAACAGAATTCATGACCAGCAGAATTATGGGTGGACTGCTAGAAATTGTAACAATAGGACTATCCTTATTTTGGTTTCAAACAACATTTAAAAATGTAAAAATTTATAGCAAATAATTTTTGCCATGTCATCTGCAGAATATTCACAACCATAAAAAACTACACATGGCAGCATTTTGGTGCTTTCGATTCAAGACAAGCCATGTAAGAATAGAAAGACAAATGTACACTTTTAAGATATAGAAAAATATGTTTATTTATAACAATACATCATAATCACTCTGAATAAAATGATAAACAAAGTAATCTCAGACCTGTGCAGCTTCATGATGACACATATCTGCTTTTACAGCTGTCATGCTGGTGTTAAGGCCTGTGGTTGGCAATATGCAAAATTATATATAGATTACACAATGACCGAGTATATACGAGCTAAAACAGGACGACACAAAAACGAGCCATGGTGAATATAGTCTTTTTGTCATATAAATGAAAAAAGAAAGAGCAGCGTGATCTCTCAGTGATCAACATTTAAAAAGTGTTAAATATGTTTCAAAGCAGCTATGGTGCACACACTATTATGATAACGACAGATTATGTGTGCAGTTATGTATCTGTTGTGTATTCACTCACAAACTGACAATCAAAACTCAAAAAAACACCAGACAACTGTCTGTGCTGCAAATTTATTTCTCTGCTTTCAAGTCATTGTGACAGGACTCGTTCATTTAACAGCTTGAAGTTAAATGGGAATTTTTATTGTTTTTTTTTATTTCTGAATAATTAAGTGGTTAAGGCGTAAACATAGTCATTCAGAGTGGTTTGACGTGAAATGTGCCGTTCTAGAGAAACATGCCGAGTAATTTTTCACAGTGGTGGTGACAGAAACCAGAAATTTAATGCCTCTAAAAGCTCCCTGACAGAAAGCTATTGTGTGAAATGGTTATGATGTCTGATGCCTGAGACATTGGTTTATGATGGTTCTGAGATGAGATTTTGGTCTAAAATTTTGTATTGTGTTGTATTTTATTAAATACATTCATGATGGAGGGGTACGTGCAGGAAAATAGCCCTACAGACATTTATTTTGGTCTTATAGACATCACGACCCCTGGTTCCTATCACTGCCAAGTTTCTCTACAAAGCACCATTTCACATCAAACCCCTCTGAATGACTTTGTTTACATATCAGTGGTTGAATTAAGCAGAAATATTCTAAAGAACTCTGTGAAATTCCTGTTTTAAAGGAGTAGCCCAGCCATATTTGCTAATGTGGTTAACAGAGAATGGAAGCTATTAGCCACCAGCAAGCATGATGTTATTTGCATCATGATAAATGGTGGCAATTCACTTGACTGAATTTGCTAATCTGGCTAACAGAGTTATTAACTACCAGTTACCATAATGTCATCTGTATAATGCTATACAGTGGTCATTCACATTAACATTTTTGGCTGAACTGGTCCTTTAAAGCATTAAAAGAGAATTTGGTAAATGCTTAAAAGCTGGGGAAAAACATACACATTGTGCATGAGGGGCTTTCAAGTGAAGAAGTCTTTGGAAATGGCCTCCACGAAGTTAGGGGCTGACATGAGGATGCCGATGGTGCAGAGGATGGTGAACAAGGAGAAGGCCATGAGGCAGAGGCGGTCGATGACGGAGGCCGCGAATTTCCACTCGTTACATTGAGTCTCTTCCTCGTCCTGGTCGCGGAAACGCTTGGCGATGTAGCGCACCTCCTCCAGGATCTTGGCCAGCTCTGTATCTGTGTGGCCGCCGCTGCTGACGGAGGGGGCCTGGTTGCTGGGCAGCAGCACGTCCTCTTCGCACCCACCTACCAGCCGCCCACACATCACCCCGGAGTCCGGCGAAGTGGCGTAGGGTAAGCTGTCAATGCCGCGAAAGCCTATGTACAGCATGTTCCCGTTGGTGGAGTGAGGTGCTCCTGCACTGACGTTCAACTCCACGCTGGAGATGCTGCTGCGTGGCTGCTTGTTGTGGCAGGCTGAGCGAACCCGGTCCTCACCTGGCCTCTTCATCCGTAAGAACCACGCGCACCAGTTCAGCAGCACTACACGTGTCTAAGGAATGAATACAGAGAAAAAAAACACTTTCACTGCAGTATATGCTACAGTATATATATATGAAAGTAGGTCTGGGTGATCAAATGCTAACAATGATTATCAAAATCTTACGTTTTTGTTAATGAGAAAAAAGTAATTCTGCTGTTTAGTTTGTTTCCCTGGGATAGACTGGCGACCTGTCCAGGGTGTATCCTGTCTTCTGCCCGATGACAGCTGGGATAGGCTCCAGCACCCCACCGCGACCCAGAAGGATAAGTGGTTTAGATGATGTGTGTGTGTGTGTGTGTGTGTGTGTGTTTAGTTCATCAATCAGGGAGTAGGAGCAATGGCTTTAAATTTATACAATTGCTACTTCGGTACTGTAGGTAGTGAGAAGAAGTCTAGCCATTCATTTGCTATAGCATAAAACAGAAAGAAAGTTAGCAGGGTTAGCCAGTGTTAGCTATGTTTAGTGCTGAAATTATGAGGGGGGGGGGCATTTTGGAAAAGAGGCTGTGGGGAAAAAAGGACCACATAAGCTCTAAAACGTGGAATTGGTTTGCTTTTCTTAAATTAGATGCCAGGTTAAAAGCCTATTCAGACTGAGTATTAGCAAATTACTGTAATTAGTATTGATCATTATCTGTATTGAATGATATGGTGTTTTTTTTTGCCTTATCACCCAGCCATTTTAGAAAGTCATGCAGACACATGAACGAGAAATGGAAAAAAAAACTACTTACCCATTTTGGCATTTTTCCTCCATCAGGGTCGTGGTAGTGGTACTGTAAGACCCAAACTGTGGCTATCACAGACAATCCAACAATGACCATGGTAGTGGCAAAATATTGAGCTGGATAGAGAGGAAAAGAGGACCACTACTTTAGAACAGTACCCTCTGAGAAAGCACTGGATTTCAAACATTACATTTAAACCTAGTCTTGAAAAAACCCCTCACCGATTAAAGGCACCGAGTCTGATGTTGCAGGCATTATCTCTGCTACCAACAGCATGAAGACCGTCAATGAAAGCAGCACTGTGATCCCTGTGAACAGAGCCAGTTGTTATACATTGGAATGATCTAATGACACAGCAGAAGTCATAATAATCTAATAAGTACATCTTTGGCACATAATTCAGCACCGCTGGCACAAAGAGCCATACGAAAGGAAAAATCAAATTTACATGATTTTCCACCTCCACTGCAGTCGATCAGCAAAGACAAGTTTGGTGTCCAAATTTTGCTTCTTTAGTTTAGAACTGGAGCTGCCAGGCTAACGTTGCTAAGAAAAACTGGAGCTCAAACCGAACATTCCCAAAACTTCTCTCAACCCCCTCAAACCACATCCAGGTCTTAATACAAGCTGATATGGTTTAGATCACAGTACAACTCACTACAAAC